CAAGAAATAACAATATAAAATATATCAAGCAACATAATAAATAATAATCAACATCATGAATAATAATAATATCAATCATAATCATAATCATATTAAAGCATAGCAAGATCCTAGGCATGATACTAACAAGATTAATAACAAACCCTAGCATGTCACTAAGCAATAAAAATCAAATCTTTAACCCTAACATGATACTAGCAATTATAAATATTAGGAAGAACATAGGAAGCATCGTAACAATCATATTTAATATTAAAAATACCCTAGACATGATACTAGGAATCAAAATAACAATATAAACATGATTTCTACATTATAATATCAATTAAACCACTAAAGTACTTACTTGGATGCCTCGTACCTCTTTCTAATTACAAAATACACACGTTAGTAACTTCAAGGAAAATAATGATCAAAACAATTAAATTAAATAATTGAAAGAGAGATTTGGGACCAAACCCTCAGAAATTAAACCTTTCACGTCTAGGACGAAAACAACTTCGAATATGGCTAGGTGTATCTAGATCTTGCGAATGCGGAATTTTGTATGTGAAAACAAAGTTTAGAAAAGAGAGAGAATAATCAAGAAAATCTTGATGAGAGTTCGTGATTGAAAAAGGGGAGATATGACCTCTATTTATAGGAAAAAAGAGGGTCGAAGAATTAAGAAAAGAATCCAAATTCGAATCGAAATAAAACTCGTAGACAGCAGTTTTTTGCGGATTTTGTTTTTATCATATCTTTTGATCCAGAAGTCCAAATAAGGCATATAATATGTCGTTGGAAAGATCTTGAAGTCTAATTCCAACCCAATTAAAATCAGATTAAAATATTTCGTAGATAAAAAGATATAGCCGAAATAGTAGGACGGTATCAGTTTTGGATAAAGTTTCATGTCTCATTCATATCTTTTTCGTTATAGCTCGGATTTAATATTTAATATATCATTGGAAAGATAATTTAAAGATCTATCCAACCATATAAAATTTAGATAAAAAATATGAGGCACGAAAATTATATCTGACTGTCTTTGAACATGTTTAAATCCGAATAGAATTAGGACTTTAAAAAAGGAAAGTTTTATAAAAAAGGAAAATTTATATTTAAATCAAATTCCTTAATCTTATCTTTTCAAAAAAGGATAATTAAGATATTTTAGAAACTTATAGAAGATTCTAATCAATCCTAATTAGTTTAGGAATAGGATTAAACCTTTGGACCTTCCTCATGATCATTGGGTCGTAGGTAAAATTCGATTTGGGCCCAGTTTAGTATTTTGGCCATAATTTCCTCATTATTCATCGGAATTGGCTTATAATATATCGTTGGAAAGGTCTTTTCAAGCCTCATCCAACTACACCATTATTGGACCCTTATCATGGACTAAACTAAACTGGAATGGACGTTTTCATAAAATAGAGTGGGTTTTCGAAAACAGAAAGAAAGAATTTTAACAAAAACTAACCGCAACACTAGACTTTTCACACTTTCACCTCATTCGATTATGGTTCGACATGAAAGGTACTCATCACTGGGTTTGGTTTTGGGGAGACACAAATGGGTGTCTACAGATACCGGGCCCCGAAAACTCTTAAATTTCTCAAAAGCATGGATATAGCCTTCAATTTTTTAATTTTTTTAGCTTTTTTTTCGCTCGTAAATAAAAATTGCCAAAATGTTTGCCATGGTCCCAAATACCCTCCGGGAGTCCAATTATGTGGGTGGAACCATCCAATTTGTCTTTAAACGACCTATTTACTGGTTTACAACTTGCACTGATTTTATTAAATCAAGCATACCATGAAAATTTATGACAACAAATAATGATCATATATGGTTGCAAATGATATTATATGACCCCGAGATTAAATCCTAAAATTTCAAGACTTTTCGACACCGGGCCTCGAAACCTCTAAAATATCTCAAAAAGCGTGGATATTAGCCTTAAATATTGAAATTTTTTGATTTTATTTTTCCCAGAAATAAAAATTGCCGAAATGTTTACCATGATACCTAATATCCTTCTGTAGTCCAATTGGGTGGGTGGAGCCACCCAATTTGTCTTTAAATGACAATTTACGGGTTTACAACTTACATCGATTTAATTAACTCAAATCTACCACAAACATTTATGGCAACAAATAGTGATCATATATGGTTCCAAACGACATTATATGACCTCGATATGTATTCCATAGAATCTCAAGGCTTTTCGATACTAGGCCCCGAAACCTCCGAAACCTCCAAAATTTCTCAAAAAGCGTGGATATTAGCCTCTAATTTTATGAATTTTTAATTTTTTTTGCCCGAAAATAATAATTGCCGAAATGTTTTCCATGGTCCCTAATACCCTTCCGGAGTCCAATTGGGTGGGTGGAGCCATCCCATTTGCCTTTAAACGGACTATTTACCGGTTTATAACTTACACCGATTACATTAACTCAAGCCTACCACGAACATTTGTGACAACAAATAATGATCATATATGGTTCCAATCGGCATTAAATGACCCCGAGATGTATCCCCTAAAATTTCAAGACTTTTTTTTTCTCCCAGAAATAAAAATTTCCAAAATGTTTATTATGGTCCCTAGTACCGTCAGGGAGTCCCATTGGGTGAGTGGAACCATCCAATTTGCCTGTAAACAACCAATTTACCGATTTACAACTTGCACCGATTTCATTACCGCAAGCCTACCACAAACATTAATGACAACATATAATGATCATATATGGTTCAGCATTATATGACCCCGAGATGTATCCCCTAAAATTTCAAGACTTTTCGACACCGAGCCCTGAAACCTCCAAAACTTCTCAAAAAGTGTGGATATTAGTCTTCAATTCTGGAATTTTTTGACTTTTTTTCGTCCGGAAATAAAAATTGCCGAAATTTTTACCACGGTCCCTAATACCCTTCGGGAGTCCAATTGGGTTGGTGGAACCATCCAATTTGCCTTTAAAAAGCCAATTTAATTACCGGTTTACAACTTGCACTGATTTCATTAATTCAAGCCTACCACGAACATTTATGATAACAAATAATGATCATATATGGTTCCAAATGGCATCATATGACCCCGAGATGTATCCCATAATATTTCAAGACTTTTCGACAACGGGCTCCGAAACCTCCAAAATTTCTCAAAAAGCGTGGATATTAACCTTCAATTTTGGAATTTTTTGAATTTTTTTCGCCTAGAAATAAAAATTGCCAAAATGTTTACCATGGTCCCTCATACCCTCCGGGAGTCCAATTGGGTGTGTGGAACCATTCAATTTGCTTTTAATCAGCCAATTTTACCGGTTTACAACTTGCACCGATTTACCGGTTTACAACGGCCAATTTTATTAACTTGCACCGAACCCGACTTGAATCGAAATTGACCCAAACTCGTTTTAACCCGTCAAAACTCGAATTTAACCCGACTTGTTACTAACCCGACCCGAATTTAACCCAACCTATTACAAACCCGACCCGAAATCAACCCGACTGTTATTGACCTGACCCAAATTCAACCCGACTTGTTATTGACCCGACCCGAATTTACCATACCTATTACTTACCCAAACCAAAAATTCAACCCGATCTGTTACTAACCCGAATCGAAATTGACACGACTTGTTATTGACCCGACCTAAATTCAACCCAAATTTTTCTTGACCCGATTTCAAATCACCTTAAATGCATTTGGACCACCTTATTATTGTTGATCAAAGCATTTTGTCTTGGGAGACCAAGTCGGTCCAGGCCAACAAAAGAAATTAAAGGAGCATCATCATCAAATTTAAGAGTTAAATATGTATAGTATATATTTGTTGTATGGTCAAAGGAGATAATTATCTTCCTAAATTATAGACTATAGTTCCCTAGTATATTGCCATATATATTATAGTCAAAGGAATTAATTAGCTTGATAAAAACGATAATTATATATTTATTGTTAGCTAAACCTGAATATTACCCTGACTTGGAAATGATCCGAACTGAGTGTAACCTGCAAATTATTGACTTGAACATAACCTGACTTGAATCCGAGAAAGACCCGACTTGAAAATGACCCAACCTGATTATAACTCGCAAATTATTGACTTGAACCGAACCCGACTTAAACCCGAGAATGACCCGACTTGAAAATGACCCGACCTGATTATAATATGCAAATTATTGACTTGAACCGAATCCGACTCAAACCCGAGAATGACTCGACCTGATTCTAACCCGCAAATTTTTGACTTGAACTAAACCCGACTCGAACTCAAGAATTACCCTAACCCGTTTTAACCCGTGAAAACCCGAATTAAACCTGACTTATTGTTCACCCGACCTAAACCTGACCCAGGCCCGATAAGAAGTATGACCTGACGTGACCCGACTCAAGCATGACCCAACCCAAACCCGACCCGCATACGTTACGGAATTAATCTGAATTGACCCAATCCGAGTTGATCCGACCCACTCTCACCTGACCCAAACCCGACCCGTTTACCCGAATTGACAGCTCTAATTTCAGTCTTTTGCATAAATGAGCATAACTGTTATGTTCATTTGCAAAAACGAGCAAATGATTGTACTTTTGATTGTATGATTTCTGACGAGGGCGTTGAAATTTTGAGTATCCATTCCTCAGTTTTGAAAATCATAACATCAACCTTTTCAATAGGAAAAATCCTAGGCGAGATTGTGAGAGTCAGGACTCATGCCACTAGTTAAACACAATTTTTATGAGACAACCCAAGCAAACATGAATACCACATTCACTTATATAACCAAATTCTCACCCCCTATAAATTCTCAAGATCCCAACAAGATATACCAATATAAGTTCTCAATATTCCCAAAATAGATGTCCATGATCAAACTTTGTAGTTTTAACAAGTTATATTTTTTCTATGATCACGCGTCTGTGTTTCGTTTAACAACAGAAGAAGTTTGCAAACCAACTTCTGTATTAAGCATTAGGCATTTAGTCTCTAAAATCAAGTACTAGAGACAGAACAAGTACTAATTGTAAGTTAAATAAGAAATATATAGTACAAATGGCTACTGCCACAGTAATTGGTACATAAATTACAAAGGTGACAGAAAAAATATAATAGTTTGTTCATTAACTAGAAATCTAATTACATACTACATTGCATAGGCTTACAACATGAGCAAACTCATAATATTGATTATGGTAAGTAGATATGTAAGCTCACATTGCACCTATCTCTAAAACTCGCTTTTCAAACTCGCTGCCAACAAGAAATACAGATTACATGGAATGCTTCCTTCTGTCCTGTAATGTCATTGCCAAAGAGGACTCCGGCAATGGAGCTATCAAGTAAATTCCTTTGCTATAAAATGTCCTTGGACTTCACTTAGAGCTTCATAGAAAAGCCTGAAATTATGTTACTGACTTTGTGATGGACATCCTTTCTATAAGAAGTAAGTAAGCTGCTCCTTCTTTCTTGAACCGCCTTCTCCATACAGCTCGTTCCACTGCTTCAGTTCATTCATTACTGCACCCTCTGAAGCAAAACTAGCAGAAACCTGCAGAGCAAAAACATTACAGTATAATTTAGTCTGAAATAAGTTTTGAATTTCATATGTTAAGAGTAAGAAATTAAATATCATATCTATGAGTGTCAATACTCTTGAATTTTACAATTCATTACCTGATTCTTTGCTTGCCTCAAATCCTCCATATTTATAGGCCTCAAAATAATTGGTTCAGGGGTCTCAGCCTCCTTTTCATCTTCTTTTTTCTCAGATGAAGCATCAGTAGAATCGTCATTATTTTCTTGGGCTTTCTTTTTCTTTGCCTGTAAGATCAGTGGTATAAATTAGGCTAAAAGGCGATACAAGCATTTCAAGAAGTTTTTCTCCCTAATTCACCCCAGGAAAAAAATAGGGAAGCATAAGAAGATATCACTAACCAAATCCTTTTGCCTCTCCCTCTGGATCAGCTCACGAACAGGACGGTATGCAGCAGTGATACAAAGATTCTGTTGGAAAGACGTAACAGAAGGTAAATTATAGGCATTAATTATAGCATAATACAATGTATTCAAGTTATTGAGAGGATTATATACCTTCAGATCACTTCCGGTGTATCCTTCAGTCATGGTAGCAAGCTCATGGAAGTCCAAATTTTCGGCCTTCTCTTTAGACAGAAGAGTTGTTAAGATCTTCTCTCTATTCTCAATGCTTGGCAAACCCACCATTATCCTGTGATGAAAAAGATTTCAGAGTTTAGTCAATGGAAATCTGCAACTATAAATGACAATATCAAAGAATGCTTCATATAAACAGCAAGTGCATGATTAATAACAGTGAACAAACCTGCGCTCAAATCGCCTAATAATGGCTTCATCAAGGTCAAATGGCCTGTTGGTAGCGGCAAGAACAAGAATCTGCTCCCCGGGCTTAGTCATAAGTCCATCCCAATGTGACATAAACTCGTTCTTGATTTTCCTCATAGCCTCATGCTCCCCAACTCTAGTTCTTTGCCCAAGCATACTGTCAACCTCGTCTACAAAGATAATGGTGGGAGAAACTTTGGCTGCAAGTGTGAACAATGCTCGGACATTCTTTTCATCTTCACCAAACCACTTTGATGTGATGGTGGACATTGACACATTGATGAAGCTAGCACCGGCTTCATTGGCAATGGCCTTTGCCAACATAGTTTTACCAGTACCGGGAGGACCAAAGAGCAGCACTCCTCTGCAAGGCTTCAAAAGGCCGCCTTTGAACAGGTCTGGCCTTCTCAAGGGAAGCATCACTAGCTCCTGAAGGGACTCTTTAATCTCATCCAGGGATCCGATGTCATTGAAAGAAACTCCTATCTCATTTGCAGGAATGACCTCTGGCCTTATTCGCTTCTCAAATTCATTGTCCGGAGCCACTTCCTGTTCAATATGATCTAATTTTCAGTAAAGACATTGGCAAATTAAGCTGATGATGGTTCTACTGTCATCAATTTTGTAAAAGCACCAGAAACAATTTACCTTCACAGGGGGCGGATTCTCAGCATTCTTTGTCAGAGTGACTGATTCGCCTTTGTTTTCACCAGTAGAGGTTTCATTCTTCCCCTCTGGCTTCACTGCAGCACTATCATCCACTGCCTGAAAATTTCATCCAAAAAAATGAACATAAGCATGTGAAGTACACTTCAGTTATCCTAGTCTGTTCGAAAAGCTGTATTTTTTACAGTATCAATTTTAAGGACAAACCTTTCCGGTTTCACCATTTGTTTCCATCTTGGCTCTGCCCATTTTTTTGCCTTCCTGGAATAAACTCAACCCATGGGACAAGCTGCCAGAAGAGATGACCAGCTTCCCATTTCGGTACTCTGGCTCCTTGTTGTTCATCAAATGGAAGGATATTGCAGACATTACAATTTCATCGATATGATCACTAAGGGTCAAAGTGTCTGCATGACAGATAGAGCCTAGATCATCACAAACAAGATCATTAGCTGCAAGAACCTCAGCAATGTGGTTCCTGTTATCCTGAAACTGGATCGTCTTCATGTCCTCCTCTAATTGGGAGTTCCAGTTAACCAAATTTGTCTCATCCACTGGAGGCCTTATGTCAATATTGTAAGGGAACAATAAGGTAAGCCTATCATCCACTTGCTCGTAGTCAGTGTTAGCATCCAACATACGAGAACCAAGCACCAAGACTGAACCACTCAACTTGCTCAACAATTTGTCAAACAAATTGTATAGCCTGTCTGACTGAAGCAGCAGTCTTTCAATGTCCCTGACGTACAATATGATGGGACTCTTTTCCGATGTGGAGACCAACACCTGCAGATCAAATGTGACATTTTTAAGTTTAATAGTCCATAGTTCAAACTCTATTGCGATTATAGAGTTCAGAAGGAGTATTATCTTAATAAGGACTGATGAGAAAGAAAGTACTGAAATTCTAATTCTCACCTTGTAAAGTGCTTGCAGAAACAGCTTCTCATCAAATGACCAAGCTGTTGGGCGCTTTACTGAAGCCAAAATTAATCAAAAGAACCACCAATCAGATTAAGAATACTAATTCAATCAATCCATACTATATTCTCTGACATACACTATTATGTGCAAACTGAACAAAATAGGATCAAGCCAAATCATAGTTATCTAGCCAAAAAATGTTTCTAGTTTTTTCTTGTTTTATTTAGAATTTGCTAGCTAGTAGATGATTGGTATAAAGACAAGACCTGAGTTTGCTGAAGAGGATTGAGAAGCAAGGCTACTCATATCAGTTGATGCTGAGGCATTTCTGCGATGCTTGGGAGGGAAACTAGCACCATCTCCAGACCTACACAAAAGTATAAGCTCAGAACTAACATACTAAAATAAAATAGCAGTACACTGTCTCTTTAATAATCCAACAACAACATCAAAGGTATTATACCCGGATTTGATGACATCTGTTGTGCTAGCTTGCCTACGCAATGTGCCTGAAAGAAACAATCATGAGAACTACTGAAAAGAAAACCAAGAAGGTAGCAAAAAATGCTGGTATGCCAAAGCATATACTTCATATTGATCGACAAATGCAAAATTACAAGTTAGCTACAATTTCAAACTCACAAATGATATATTTAAGAAAGGGTAACAGAAGTTTTATACCTTTGGGCACATCCCTTGGAGGAAGGATAGAGAAGGAGCCTAGCATGCTGGACATACGCCCCAATGTTGCTTCTGATATGGACCTTGAAATTCGCTAAAGCAAAGGAAAAAACGACAAGGTGAGCAAAGATAATCATGAAAGCTTTCTTGTATTATACAGTAAACTATTTCTCTTGCATAAATATCTAGTGAATCAACAAAAACACAAGTCAAACAAAAGATCTGAAAGATCAATTCTGCCTCAATAATGCTATATAAAAGAAGCTTGGCATCTTTCAAAATTCAAACTCTTTTAAGCAAAGCATATCGTGTGTTTAGATTAGCTGACACGATATTCAGAATCTAAAGGACTAGAATTTGTAATTGTGAAGGGAGAGCTTACATGTTCCTTTTTGTTGCAGCCATACTTGTTCTGCATCTGCAAGAACCAATATCAAATGAACATTAGTGCAAATTCAACAAATTATTAACAAGTCTATTCAATCAAAGGGATATTTACCTTCATGGAGAAGTCAGCAACATCCAACAGCAGCAACTTAGCATCAAAGTAGTTTGCCAACGCTTTAGCGAGCAATTGCTGGTAGAGTTCTGCAAGAGAATTAAATTGAAAATCAAACATTTATCATAAGGTAACAGCATAACAAAACTAAAATTACTTTCAGACATAGAAAGATCACATACCAGCTGGCCCTGATAGCAGAATTGCTCTGCTTCCAGGTGAAAGATTTCGAGTGAACTTGGAAACTTCGGCATGCTTCAGATGTACATATGCCGCACTTGTCAATAGTGTTCGGGTTTGTTCACTGTCATCAACATCATAAACCAAAGGTTGTCAAAATCACTAAATTAACAAGATCTTAATAGCAAAAAGCCACATCCTTTATCAGTATCATAAATCATCTTTATTCTTTTCATATGGATTTAGATTTTAGTCTATGATTCTTACAAATCATTAATTGAAACTCGAGATTAAGACAGTTCGTATGAAATTATTTTATCACATCATTACTTAAGAATCAAACAAAATCAGTAAAGTAATTTACTGAGTTGAGGTTAAAAAATAAACCTTGAAAATTTCACCAAAGATCATACCTAACTTGTATCCAAAATTAAAGTTGTAACTTTACCAATTCATCAAATCTGGCACTAAGAAATACTATTAATCATCATTAACTACAACTTCAGCATCAAATTACAAAATGACTGCCACAATAATTGAATTACAGATTTACCCAGAAAATCATACAGTAAATTAAAACCCTCAGAAGTTAGGAAAGAATATACTAATACTCAAATTAAGTTGCATCTTTTCCAATAATATTTAGCTAAGACACAGAAACTATTCCTGGGATCATGATATTATTCCCAAAAAAAAAGGTTTTCACAGAAACTCATATAAAATAGTATCTTTAAAAGCATATATTCACAAAATCTAACATGTTCTAAAAATTGCATGAAACCCAGTTCAGCATCAAGATTTATATCATGTATGATTCAGAAAGATACAGATTCATACAGCCCCATAAATAATCAAACCCATAAAAACCCAACAATAATCATAAAAGTACAACCTTTATTTATCCACAACTCTATCCAAAAAACAATATCTATTAAAAACAGGGGAAAATAACAAAAATCATGTCTTTTTTATTTTGGAAAAAAAGGGAGGAAAATAATAAAATTACCTTAAATAATAGGGAAATTCATCAAATGAAACTTTAGTATCCTTGCCATCAACAAGAAGCCTGATTAACTCATTTTCAATTTGATCAGCAGAGATGCTATCCAAAGATTCATTAGAACCAATCCATTTACCAACAGTTTGGCCAGATGCCAATCCAAGCCCAACTCCAACACCAACACCAACACTCAATGCTGATAACAAAAAACTCTTTTGCTCCATTTTTTTTTCCTTTATTTTACCAAAAAAGATTCAATCTTTTTCTTGAAATGTGAGCAAAATAATCATAGAAAGATGAAATTTTTAACAAAAAAAACAGAGGATTCAATATTTTTGATGAAATGGGTTGTAATTTTAGGGGAAGAGAGAGAAAATGAAGACAAAAAAATGTGGGGAATTATTGCTTAATTGGGTGGGTTTGGTTTGGTGGGTGTGTTGGTTTTCAACAAGCAATGGTTTGTATGAAGCTTTGTAATTGTTGTGTGATGTTCTATCTCATCCTATTTATAGAGGGTTTATTATGCATTTTGCTTAAAAAAAAAAAAAAAAAATTAAAAAAAAGGAAAAATAAATGCTTTCTGTAAAATTATTACAGTAGTATTGTATTGATTGATCAATTGATTAATAAAAATTAAAAAAATAAAAAAGGAAGAAGAGAAAAAAAGCAATTGGGTACACAGTTGTGTAGTGAACTTTTTCTGACTTACAGACGAAGGAGAGTCCACTTTTTTCCGACTCCAATTTTATTTTGATTGGAATTTTATAAAATTAATTTTTAGTTTTGTAATTGGTTGTTTTATTTTTCCAGGGGAGATTTTTCTGACTCACCCCCGCCTTTTTTGTTCTTTCCCATACAATTTGGTTTGTTAATGTGGCATTGTCGCTATTTTTTAATTAAAGTACAAAAAAAAAAAAAAAAAAAAAAAAAACAAAAAAAATCTACTTTGTATATGAGCAATATAATTCATTGTTTTTAGATGTCAACTAATTTTATGGTAATCTGAAATGTCATGTTATATGAAGAAATTGCGAGTTTGTGACAACTTTTTTCTTTGATTATAGGTAATTATCATAATAAAGTTTGTTTTAATGTATGAATAGATGGTTGTAAGTACTTTCTCTTTCTCATTACATATTTGCTGATGCGTTATTTTATTTGTTAAAATCTTTTATTACTAATATGTAAAATTAATAAAATTTTGAAATTAAAAAGTATAGGGGAAGATAAATCTAATAAAATGGCACATGGCTAAGTTTTGTTAATATAAACAAATATGTTAAAGTCGAAGTGTTGTTGTAAAAGAAACGAAGAAAGTATTTTAAATGAATAAGCTTGTTTACATTTGTTTATTTAATAAATGAACAATATGCTTGAACATATCCAACCATCACCATGCACAATGCCAATTGACTAGCTATAATTAGATTCCTCCAATAACATGGTCATAAGACCATGCTAGTACTGGATTCAACATGATTAACTCATAAATCTTGTCTACTTAAACTTATAAGAAAGCTTTAATCAATCAACTTGAGAATTATTGTATTCGCAATAATCATACACTAGTACAATGTTATATTATATAGATCAAATCATTGAATGGTGATAATTATGTTCGTAGAATATTTGTAATAATATGTAAAATCAAAATAGGTAAACGTTAAGTGTGTAATATATCATGTTGTTGACAATCAACGTCAAAGAATGGATTATTAAGGTCAAGGTACGTCTTCGCCATGCACAATGCCAATTGGCTAAGATATATAATTAGATTCCTCCAACATGGGAGATACACATAAATATAGCAATTATTATTGTAAGTTGCACCAAATTGCACTAACTTGTAGTAAAATCTTAACAAATTAAATGATCCCACTGCTATTGGCATGGTCCTCTAAACTATTTCACAAATCTCGAGGCATATTCAACGGTTGATATTTGTACAACTAATTTTTATTTTATACAATTTGTAATTTGTCAGCTGTTTGTTTATGGGAAGAGGGCCATTCTAATTAATTTATATGATTAATTATGTGATACAATTATATACAAAGTACTCCATATATAGCTAGTTTATGAATGTTTTAAATTATATAAAATGTGTAACGTCCAATTATAGTGTATATTACATGCTCTCTTGATCAGGTTATTATGTAAATCATGGAATTATATATAAGAGTAAGTTGTCTCAGGAGTTTTGCGGTTATGTCTTGGATTAAGCCTATCGTAAGTGAGGAATGTGGGGTTTAATCCCACTTAATAATTTGCTTAGGTTGTTATATGATTAAGACAATTTTATTTTTGAAAATTATTTTAGAGCTATAAGTTTACCTAACTTATTCTTATTAGTTAAGTAGTAATGCTAATAATATAATTTAGTCCATTTACACTCGGTCACATCACGATATTGATCAATATAGGGAACAAAGTCGACTTTATACCATTTTGTTGATAGATTGATCCCAAGACACCGTATGTTCTTACAATCTTTTTCGAGTAGCAATAACTTAGAAGACGTATTTTTTTATTTTAATTTTTTAAAACAAAGGAAACTAAAAGGGCTATATAAGCTAAAAAAATAAGCCTAGATAAACATTAATTATACCAATTTACGTGTATTTTTGACATGAATTCTGAACTTTATACCATATTAAATTAGAATTCCTATTTAATTTGATGCTTATATATAAGCTTAAGTGGGGCTAAATATATTGTTACCCATAAAAAATGACTTTTGTTTTATACCGGGATAACTTTTGACCATTTTAAGGTAATAGAAGTCATATTTAAGAATTTGCTTAATGAAACTTTGGAATATTAGCATTTAGTAATCACCCAGTTCCTTTTCCTAATTTTGTAGGTATTGAGTTTGATTATATTAGAGGAAATTTATAATGGAGTACGTAGTATACATCGCATTTTGCATGTTTTACTTTCCATTTTCGACCTCAAATGATGAATGATATCACTATCCACATTAAAATAGTAGGCACTTAAAAAAGGAGTCATTGAACGTGAACGTGTTTCAAAAGCCTTAATCACGGATAGATCAAATATACTCAACTTCAATTCTAATGTTACTCGTTTAATTTATTTCTTTTTTACTAAGTTATCATTTGTCAATTTAATATTGTCATCGTCCCTACTTAAGCTACTTTGTTTATCAAAGTGTTTCAAATGATGTTGTTTTACCCTCAAAAACCCCAATTGATCACCCATTTTATGGAACACCATACTTGCCCCCACTAAGTCACTAACTCCACAGTCCACACACCTTTTTTTTTTTTTATTATTAAAAATTAATTACTCTCTAATGCCTCTTGAAATGATGGTGGATGTATGTTATTCACATGATTTTTTACATAAATGAAGTTTTTCTATAACTCAATGAAATTAATCTAAGCTAATTTGAAGTTGTTTCAGCTTAGTATGTATTTATTTGACCTTTATAAAACGTATTTTAGTTGTAAATTAAAATTAAGTATTTTTTTTTGAGGCCAAATTAAGTAAATTATCTTATGACAATTATTAAAAAAAAATTATTATCTTATGAACAACACCCTTGTCAAAATAATCCTAAATGACATTAACATGATTTAAACTATATGAACAATAATATAAACTTCTTATCTGAACTGTTTTTATAATAATTAAGTGAAAAATGATAAATGCTACCGAATCAATTCTTTTTTACTTTAATTTTTATTTACATTATTATCTTGTTACCGCATGTAATTTTTTGACTTAGTCTTGTATGGAGTATTTTAAATAGGTATGATAATATTATAAGAAAATTATAATGTTGGATTCTATATGTTATAGCTACAAAAATGATTGTAATTAAGAAAAGTTTATCAACACGATATGAAATTAGAGATATGTATCATGCATGAATTGGATGCATGCAGTTACGTACTCTAAGGAAAGAGATTAATAAATGGGTGAAAAGTAGGGTCAAAATAGGATAGTTCGGTAATAGCAATTTGACACACATATAATGCAATGTGTCTCTCTCTTTCCTTTGTTGGTAATTTGGTATGACACAAACCTTTTTTACTTGATGGGAAAAAAAAACTTTTATGCATTTAAGTTCTTGTTTGGCTCTTATTAGAGGTGGTACTTTCCAAAAAAAAAAAAAAAAAAGAAAAAAAGAAAAAAGAATAATATCCCAGGAAATTTACAAGGTCAATTCTTAACGAGAACAAGATTTTTGATCATAAGAATTTCAATTCTACCACTAATTAAGAAATGCTTGTCTATATTTCTAAGGAATTTTAAATTTTTACCATTATGTGAAATTTTCTTTTTAAAACATAAATGTTACTGCATGCACCTCACTAAAGATTTTTATAAAATTGTATCAGCAATATATACATCTATCTACATTAACTTTAAACCATAAAGTTCAACAAAATTACTACTCTGTATTTCTGATCGACCTAAACCGCACTTAAGCCGTGGTCATGCAATTGCTAGCTAGCTTAGAAAAAAAATAGTCAATTAAATAATTATTTGTCTAATAAAATCGAGTAACATCCCAATTAAATATTACAATAAAACAATAGGCGAGGTACTTGACCTAACATATAACTTGAAACAAATCAGATTAAATTCAAGCATTTTTTGATAATCGGGTTTAATTACTTTAGGATTTTATTTGGTGCATAAAATAGTGTTTTACCTTTAATTACATCGATCTCTAAGCCCCCCTTTTGTAAGTTGTAACCATTAGACCAACTGTGCGGCTTCGAAACGAACGTTCCTGTAAAAAGCATGGCATAGCCCTTGTGTAAATAAACCAACGACAAAATTAAGGCGGCTGGTTAATATTTAGGAGTATAAATTAATCACTCCATAATAATAATATGTTATAAATTTTATTGCAAGTTTAGAAAGGAATCAATAATAACGACAAGTAGTTAAAACTCTTACTTGTACACTGACTCACTGCCTTTACATTATTATAGTATATAATCCCATTTGAGGGAGAGATTAAAAATAATTGATCCTAAGTTAAGCTTAATTTCTGCTTAAAGCCTATTAATTTGGCCATCTAGCTAAATCATGTAGTTGGATATATTATATAGCTAAAAATCATAGAATAATGGTTAGGTTGCTAAATTTTGTGACCAAGCAAAAAGTAAGTTGATAGTAAATAAAATCAATCTCTCTCTATTTCTTAAACGATTTCTTTGAGATTCATCCTTTAACTTAGCTTTATGCTTGAAAATCGGAGAACTAGCTAGTCAGCTGATCTAAATTTTTTTTATATGTTTTTATATTTTAAAAATGGAATTATTAAGATAATATTATTAGAGCAAAAGGAATGAATATCAATTTGGTAAAAGCCTAAAAGGTAAATTATTAAGGGTTAAATGATGACAAGTATTATTAATAATAATGATAATATTATATATAGTAGTAGTAAATATATAAAATGGCATTTCGTGTAACCCACAAATCATAATGTCTGTATGTGGAAATTGAATAATAAGTTGCACCATGTGATGCTGATCTGGAAAAGGAT